AAATTTCCTGTCAATTTCGCAGTTATTAGCAAAGTATGATCCAGTAATGAGAGAGCATTTAGAGCGTGTTAAAAACAAGCAAATGTCAACATTTTATCTTTCTCCTGAAATCCAAAATGAGTTTATAAATCTCATGGCTTCACATGAGCGAAATTATTGTTTGTCAGCAATTCGTAGGTAAAGGAAAGAGACGCTGCCAATATTGAGAAAACCGTAAGCACGAAATTAGAAGCGATGGAATTTTTTTGAGCGATTGTTGTTCACAATGTTATGATAATGCTGCTGTCATCTGTCAGGCATTCAACAAAGAATTCTGAACAAAAATCCAAAAGCAGTGTTTATAAATTGTGACAACCATAGTTTGAACTTAGCATGTCTTCATGCTGCAAGTCAGGAAACAACAATTATTACCTGTTTTGGTATAATTGAAGCCATTTATAATTTCTTTGCTCATTCAACAACTCGATTGGACAAACTGCAGCAGGAGCTTAAGATCTCTGTCAAGCGTGAATCAGAAACACGGTGGAGTGCAAGAGAAAAGGCACTAAAAGTTGTACATGAAAAACTGGATGAATTGCTAGGACTGTTAGAGCAATTAAGTGAGAATGGCAACACAGCTGAAACAAAATGTGGTGCTCATAATATTCTGCAATGCATGCTTACATTTGATTTTCTTGTACTTTTGCATTTTTGAAGAAATCTTTTACCATCTATCAATTGAGTGTAGAAACGTCTTCAGGACCCAAAAATTAATTTTAGAGAAACAGCTGCTGATCTTGATTCTTTGAAAGAGAAATTGATAGAATCACATGAAAAGTCCTATCAAGAAGCACTTAAAGTGGGCAAGAATCAATGAAAAACATGGGGATTGGCCATTGAAAGAAGAAAAATATGTCGTAAACGAATGCCAGGTAAAAATGCATCTAATGCTGGATTGACTGCTGAACAGGAAATTTATTGCATCATGAAGGATGCTATTGATTGCTTGATTACAGAAATAAAAGGAGACTTTCTCGCTTACTAGATTTAGATTCACGGTTTGGATTTTTACTA